GAGGCCAGGGCAGACGCACCAGCCCTCTCCCCCTCCTTCCTGCCACACGGAGACGAGACGTCGACAGAGCCGGCGCCGCACCACCGCCACCCGCCCCCGCCCCCTCCCCCCCCTCTCCCCACCCGCCCCCGCTCTGGACAGGCGCACGACCTCGAGCCGACGCACTTCGCCGCAGACAGCCCCGCCCGCGCCGGCTCGCCCCGCCTCCTCCGCCGCGTGCTCCTCCTTCTTGGGGTAGACGGAGTTGTCTTTTTCGAATCAGGCTCGCCCTTCGCCTCCGCCTCCTCCGCCTTGCGGCTGCCGCCGCCGCAGCAGGTCGGCGCCCCCGCGCGCTCGCGAGCCGGCTCCGTCAGCGAGAAGAGGCTGGTCTAGTTAATTAACATGCCAATTATATTAATTAATTTATTAGGCTCCGTCAGCGAGAAGCGGCTGCGAGGCTCGCTCTCCGTCGCTTTCTCGTTACCTCCCCGGAACTTTCTCGGAACCTTCTCGGAACCTTCTCGGATTCTCCTCCCCCCAGGCCCGCTCGCCTTCTCCGAACCTTCTCGGAACCCCCCCGGAACCTTCTCGGAACTCTCCCGGACTCTTCCCCCCCAGGCCCGCTCGCCTTCTCCGCCGACCCGACCGCCGACCCGGGCGCGGTCTACTACTTCGCCATCATCGACCTCCTCCAGTCCTGGGACTGGGGCAAGCGGCTCGAGCGGTGCGCAAAGCTGCTCCTCTGCTGCCGCTGCTGCTTCGCAGGCGGCATGTGTCCGCTAGAGCCCTCCCCCTTCCCGGCCCCTTCCCTGCACCTCCTCGGAACCTTCCTGCAGGCGGCATGTCGGCTGTCGAACCAACCACATACGCACGCCGATTCGCTAGCATGGTGCCCCGCGCGGGCCACCTCCCCCTCCTCCCCCGCCGCGAACAGCGTCTCCTCACACCTGCAGCCGTGAACAGGTTGAGCGGACGGTCGGGCCGTCGAACCAGCGCTGGCCATCGACTCGCAGCCTCGGCGATGGGCAGCCGCGTCGTGTGCTCATCGCGATTTCTCTTTGCGGTAGGTCGTCGACGCGCTACTTCCGCGGCTTCTGAGGCTTCCGAGGCTTCTGAGGCGCCGCTGGCTCTCGAGGCCGCCTCGCCCGTCGCCCCCGTTCTCCTCCTCTCAGCTCTCTCCCAGCTCTCTCCCAGCTCTCTCCCTCTCTCGCTCTCTCTCTCTCCAAGCTCTCTCCAAGCTCTCCCCCCCCCCCCCCCCAGCTCTCCAGCCTCTCTCCTCCTCTCTCTTCCAGAACCACAGCTCCCCCTCCCTCCAACTCTCCAGCACACACACGGCCGCCTCGCCCAGCCGCCTGTGCCTTGCCGTCCAATCAACGCGGCGGGCACAGCTAAGGGCACAGCAGTACGACCTTGGTCCACACTCTCTCCCTTGAGCGCTTTAGCCGGCGCTCGCACGTACGGCTGGACCCGCTCTTCACGATCGCACTCTCACATATCGTCAACGCATGCGCATTCCGTAGTGGCCTTGTGGCGTTACAGCTTACACATTCGTTCCGGCCGTCTCAGCTATAGAGCTACTTTTCCGTGTAGTAAGGGCCTAAGGGCCTAAGTAATCTCCTTGTCCTGCCTCTGATGCCACTCTCGCGGCTTGTGTAGCGGCGCGTCAGTCACTCGCGCATGTGCTCTGTTGCTCTCCAGGAGCAAGGCGGGCGCGTGTGTGGGGCTGTAGCCTGTGTTTGGCCGGTTCTGAACCGTTTACTATCAGTACCATGCCTGGGCCACAAGTCCACACGGGGAGCGGCTCAGGGGCCCAGTAAGCCGCGGAATCGCCAAATGTCACAACCCCCAACCCGGGTGCCACCCAGGGGCAGAGGGCTGGACCTAGTCGAGCGAGCAGAGTCGGCTCACAATTCCGACAAATAAAAATCTGAACCACACGCATACAGAGAGCGAGCACAACGCACACCACACACGATACCTACATAAACACACACCCCAGACTCTCACGCCTCCTCCCCCCCACACATCGCCTCCCACGCCCGCCCCGGCGCCGCGCCCGCCGCCAGCCCGGCCGCTAGCGCCGACTTGACCAGCAGCCCGGGCAGGTACGGCCTCACCGCCGCGTCGAGGACGGCGCGCGCACCGAGCCGCTTGCGCGCGGCCAGCCCCGCCGCGCCGCACGCGAGGATGACGCAGTGCGCCGCGGCGGAGGCGGCAAGGCCAAGCTGGAAGGGCAGCGGCCTCGCTCTCCCGGCCGAGGACTTTGCGACGAGGGCGGTGGCGGGCAGGAAGCCGACGACAAAGCCGGCGGCGGCGCCCGTTATTCTCGGGCCGTAGCCCTCGAGCCGTCGGCGCCCAGAGGTGGATGGGAGCCACGCCGCAGCCACGCCGACCGACACGTAGATTGCCACGGCGCCGAGTGCGACACGCGGCGCACACAGCAGCCCAATGACACAGAGCGCCAAGGTCTGGGCGGTCATCGGCACAGCGCCGCTGCCCCACGGCGTGATCGCGGCGCGGTGGCTCACGGAAAGCACGACGTACGCCGCCGCGAGCGCTGTGAAGCCGTCGGCGGTGGCAAGGCTGCAGATTGGCACCGGGTGGCCGAGCGGCGGTGCCGCGACAAAGTCGAGGGTGAGGCCGAGCGTGAGGATGGCGACTGAGTTGAGAAAGTGTTCCGTGGCAGACCAGAGGGCGTCCATGAGGAGGGGTCGAGGTACCGAACGTGGTCGAGCGCGCGCGCTGATTAATAGCCAAGAGAAAACTCCCCTGCTAGTACAGTAAATTTCGCACACTGTTCCACGTGAAGCCGGAAGACGGACTTGCGGCTACGAAAGTGGCTGAAGAGGTGGTTAGCGCCATCCTAGAACGGATTTCTGAGCGGGTGGAAGGGGAAGCGGAGGAGGGGATGAGGACGCGCCTGTGCCAGACTCGGTCGAGAGACCCCAGATTGGCATCCATGCCTCTCTGGACAGGGTGGCCCGCCACAAGGACCCCAGGAATTGCGACTCGCCGCTTTCCTCCCGCTGTGATTCTGTGCGAGCTCTGTGTCTTGATTTGCCAACAATATACCTAAAACGCCATGCATGGACAGGGGGTGTTTGTGTGCTTTTGTTGTGCAGCCCCTGTGGTCCGTGAGAAGAGGAGGCAAGGAGACGGGTTGGCGGCGAGGGAGGGGCAGCCGTCGCAACAGGCGAGCGCATCCCGAGCCGGGGCTGCACCTGGGGGTCGGCCTTCCCCGACGCGGATCTTGCTTGCCACAACGGGAACGAGGCAGCCCCCGGTGAGGTTCGTGCCGGCAGCAGACAGGGCAAAACAACGGGAGAAGGCGATCCGGGAGGCCGAGAGGAATCAAGTGGCCGCGGCGGCGGGCGAGAGGGCGGTCCTGGCGGAACTCAGGGCGATCGGTCTGTCGTTCGCGGCCAGCACCGGCGTCCTCAGGCCAGTGCAGCCGCGGGAAGTGCGGAGCCTGGCTATGGTGAGAGGCGCCCGGGATCGCGAGGGTGATCGGCCGAGAGGGCGCACTGTGTGGAAGCGGGGCATCGCCGACGCCACGCGGCTCGTCGTACCAGCCGAAACCTCCGACTTGGTTCGACAGCCGAAACGGCCCCAGCGGGTCGCACTTGCCTTCTTCCGCCGCAAAGTGCGCTACCAACTCGATGACGCGCGCCAGCTGGCTTTGGAGGCTGTCCGTCGCGCTTCTGGTTTGAACCTGCGGAGGCATCAAGAGGAACGTGCTGGACAATGCCAACGCGCTGCGGCGCGCTGGGCAAGCAGCTGCACGTGCGGGTTGCGCGTGGGGGGTGCGCACCATGGTACTGATGAGGCTCCAGACAGTTGCCCAGTGCGCGTGGGCGGGAAGAATGCGCGCGAAAAGACTCGCCGGGCTGGGCCCGCCGTCCGACCGGACGGTCCGACTCGGACGGGAGGTTCGTCCGGGCCGGACGCGAATGGCAGGACCAAAAACGCATGGCGGGCGCTGTCGGTCGGACGAAAACTCGTCCGACCGGCGAAAAACCGTCCGGCGTCAGGGTGTGGAACCGAATGGCAGTACCGCCCCAATTTGGTAGACCGCGGTAGACTCCTTTTTCAGCCGCCGAACGGTAGACCGCCGCCGCCGGACGGTAGACCGCCTCGGCCGTTTGAATATGCAGCCTCCAGTTCTCCACTCTGGCGCCACTTTGGCAGACGAGCGCCGGCAGATGCCCTCGCGGCCTGCCGGCGAACGTCCGTCCGGCGAGAACGCGCGATGAAAGTGCGGTCTGCCGCGCGGGCGAAATCTGCCGGTGAGAGAGGCTGTTGAGCGCGGTCGCTGTGAGCTTCACCTCATGCCATTTCCGTGCGAGGCGGAGCTCCGTGTCTTTTATGAGATCAAATGATCGTCTTTACACACTCATCGGGCGGAGCAGCGCACTGCAAAGCGCCGATCTGTCTCGAGCACTTTCGAGAGCGATCTTATGCCCCACCGCCACACTACCATTGAGGGGAT